TTTTTTTTTTTTATTTATGGATACTAAACTAATAATAATTGAAACAACAACAGATGACAAAGAAATGGCCAATAAATTAAGTCATTTACTTATTAAAGAGAAACTAGCAGGGTGTGTACAGGTTAATCAAATAAACTCATATTATGAATATGATGATAAAATTAATAACACAGTTGAATATTTAATAAGAATAAAAACATTAAGTAATTACTATGAGGATGTAAAAGAATTTCTTTCTAAAGAACATAATTTTGAATTACCTGAATTTATTTCTTATGAGTGTAAAGAAGTAAGCAAAGATTATTTGGATTGGATTGTTAAAAATTTAAATAAATAAATGTAAAAAGAATATTTTAAATAATTATTTTATCTCTTTTTTTAATAATAATTTATATTTTAAATAAGAATAATTATTTAAAATAAAGATATTATTTAAAATAAAGGTATTATTTAAAGTAAGAATAATTATTTAAAATATAAATTATTATTAGAAAAAGAGATAAAATAATATTAAAAGCAAAAAATAATATAAAAAAGAGAAAAATAATAATATAAAAAAAAATATTAAAAAGTGAAAAGTAATATTCAAAAGAGATAAAATAAAAAATCAATTTTATAAAGTGAAAAAAGAAATTAATAATAAATTAACGAATTAACAAAATAATATCAAAAATAATAAAATAAAATTAAAAAGAAATAAAATAATAAAATTATTTTAAGGATTTTTAAAAATTAAAAAAAAAATAATCCATAAAATGACTGAAAATCAACCATCAATAGTTTTATCAGACTCAGTTGTAGAACAAACAGACATAAAAACAATATTAAAGAATACTCCTTTACACAAACTAACCACATTACTTAAAATCACAGTTGAAGAATTATGCACTTTTAATGCATGCCAGGAAAGAGACTTAAGGCATAAATCAGTTTATTTGACATCTAAATTTATAAAAAATCATTTACAAAAAGCACAAAAGAATTTGAGTGAAAAGGAATTTGATATTCTTGTTAGCTCACTTTTAGAGAGAAAAAAGGATATTTGTTCACAGATTAGGTCTTTAGTAGTGCAGACAATAGGTTTTTTGGTACTTAAAAAGGAAAGAAATCATTTTGATTTCATTTTTGAAGCATTGAATGATTCAAATTCTTTTACTGTTCTGACAGCCATAAAATCAATCAAAGAATTGTTAGTTTTATGCAAAAACAGTGATTTTAAAAAGAAATTACTGAAAAATATTGAATTTTTAATAAATTTAGCAAAAAATGATAAAAATAAAGGAATAAAAGAAGAAAGTAGTCTTTTAATATTCAATCTTTACGAGAAAAAGATGATTAACTTAGAATCAATTAAAGAAATAATCCATCTAGCACCACTAAATTTATTTAAACAAATGGTAGATGAATTAATAGGATATAAAAGAGAAGAACCAGGCTATAATTTTATTTTCAAAGATTACAACCTTATGATTAAGCTTTATCAATTTAATAATGAAATATTTACCAGAATTAATTATACAGAAGTAGATTTAGAATGTTTTATAAAATTACTTTTAGAAAAAGAAAATGATTTTNATANNNNTAAGTGTTTTAGAAAAAGTAATTTTAAAAAATACCCCTTTAAAATATTTTATCAGTTTAATTTACAAAAATGAAGAAAATTTAGAAAATGTTTTAGAAATTCTAATAAAAATGGAAGAAAATGAAGAAAAAATAAATTTAGAAGAAAAAGAAAATTTATTAAATTTATTGGTGGAAATAAACAAAAAAAAGAATATTTTAAATTATTTAATAAAATACCTGGAAAAAAGTAACAAACATTTATTTGGTAATTTTGTAGAAAAAATAGTCAATAAAGAGAATGTAAACCAAATTATCAAACACTTTGATGTTAATTTTGATGGAGACATAGTTTACCAGTGCTATAAATTTCTTTGGCAGACCATTAAAGATGAACCAATCATTTTTAAGGTTTATAATCTTCCTTTGGAAGATTATTCTGATTTATTTGAATTTATGATTTATTTAACAGAAAAATTAAGAAAAATGGATGTAAATTTTAAATTTAATTTAAAAGAATTAGAAAATGATTTAATAAAATTAGAAGGAAATTTAAATGAAAAAATGACTGAATTTTTAAATTACTTGGTAAATTATTTGACAAAACATTTAAAGAAATTAAAAAATAAAGAAATAATTTATTATTGTAAATTAATTGAAGAAAAAATTATTTTACCTGATTTAAGTTTATTATTTAGTGTTAGTATAAAAGAATTAACATTAAAGCCACAAATGATTTTAGATTATTTATTTTTATTTCTTTCTAAAGAAACAAATTTAACACTTTTAGAAGAAATAAAGTATTTAAAAGGAAGTGTTGATGTATTTAATAATATAAAATCACTCTTAGGCACTGAAAAAGAGAATTTTATCAAATATTTTATAAAATTTCTAAGCACAGCTGAGGCTATTTTTTTAGAAAGTAAAGTACAAAATGAAGAAATCAAAGAAATGTTAAAAGGTAAAATATTTAAATCTAAGAAGACTAAAGAAATACCTGATGAAAATAATGTTAGCACTACTTTTATTTAATAAATTAGTGATTAGTTGAAAATAAAATATAAAAAATATGTTTTTTTAAAAATTTTATTAAATTTTTAAAATATGAATCAAATAAAAAAAATATGTTTTTATTAAAAAATAAAGAAAAGTATTCTTTGGAAAATAAATAAGCTTCCTTAGCTCAGCTGGTTAGAGCGTGGTGCTAATAACGCCAAGGTCTTGGGTTCGATCCCCGAAGGAAGCATATTTATTTTTTTAAATTAAAATAAAAAAAATAATTTTTTACTCATGGAAGAATTTCTAAAAAATTTTAACAAAAAATTACAAGAAAAACTTCTTTCCCAGCAAATAGAATCTTACGAAAGAAANAACTANTCAATCATAATACAAAAAGACACTCAAAATTTAAACTTAAAAGAATCAATCAAACCACTTTTAAACCAACAAGAACAGATCCCTCCTTTTACATTGGTAGAAATTTTAGTAAATGACTTTGACTTTATGCTAAATTTAACAAACTCAAACATAATAATTTATGGTGAATATCAAAAGCTAAGCAGAGAAATAAGTCAAACAAAATTTTTTAAAAAAGAGCTAAGAAGTGTGGATGATTTTACAAAAGAGTTAATTTGTTATTTCGGTTGCACGAAAATAAACTTTATAGGCTTTGGTAGAGAAGACATTGATGTACAAATGATTGGTTATAGACCATTTTTATTAGAAATAATCAATCCTACCAAGAATCTTAATTTTAACCAACTAACTTTATGCTTGCATAAAGAAATAAAAATAAAAAATTTAAAAGAAGTAAAAAAAGAATCAAAAAAATTTTTTCAAATCAAATTGGAAGACAAATTTAAAATTTACAAAGCATTGATTTTTAGTAAAAAAATGAAAGAAATTAAATTAGAAAAAATAAGCATAAATCAAAAGACACCTTTGAGAGTTTTGCATAGAAGAAGTAACTTAGTACGAATAAAAGAGATAGAAATTTTGAAGTGGGAGGTTAAAGACAGTTTTTGTGAATGTGTAATTAAGGCAGATGCTGGTACGTATATTAAAGAGTTCATTAATGGAGATTTTGGCAGGACAGTGCCAAGTATTTCTTCTTTTTTGGAATGTTATGCAGATTGCATTGAATTAGATGTTTTAGAAATAGAATCTTTTGAATTGCCAAGTGAGTTAATTTATAAAGAAATTAAATTAAACATTTAATTTTTTAAAAAATTATACTTTATTGAAATTTAATTAATTTATTTAAAAAATTATATTTTATATTAAATTTCACTTTATTTTTTAAAGAATAAATAACATTATTTTATTAAATTTATTCTTTATGATTAAAATATGACAAATAAAATACTTTTAAATCAAATCTTTATTTTTAAATTTTATTTTATTCTTCCTCTAACAATAATATTATTTTTTTAAATTTCATTAAATTCTTCAAAAATTAGAATAATATTTAAATTAAATTTATTCTATGATTAAATAATGACAAATAAAAATGCTTTTACAGGGTTATTCACATTTATATGCAAAATTATTCATTTTTATATGCAAAAATATATACAAAATTAAGTTAAATAAAATTAGAAACATTTTAAATTTAATAAATCAATATCATTTTGATAAATTTATAAAAATAATTATAAAAAAAATGATTTTATTTTTATTGTGAAGATATTTTAATAAAAAATTATGGTTTTAAAACAGAGCATATATAGTTTTTAAAAAATAAACATTTTGAAAAATTAATTTAAAAATTTTTTTCTTGTAGTTGTAGAAGGTGCTTTAAGTTCTCCTTTATAGAATAAAGGGTATTTCTATATTGGAAGTGATGTATCGGGTCTAGTGTAAAAATATTATGATTGACTAAATTATAAGGATTAAAAATATTTAAGAAACATCTTAAACAAATGATGCGTTCTTCTAAGTTTGATAAGTTCAAACCAGAGAGATCCGGGTTATCCAACCCTTGTTATGCTTTCAACACTTAAAGATTGTCTGCTTATGTCTTTACTTGTTTTGTTTTAGATATGTATCTCATTTACAAAGATTACAACGTTATTTATGTGGTTAAGGACATCCGATAATTCTCTATGGAATAATTTAAGACTGCTCTTCAGTCCAAATGGTAGACTAATAAAATTGAATTGTTCTGGTGGACATATTAAACTCGTTACTTTTTGAGAATCTTTCTCTATTAGTATCTGATAAAAGCTTGAAGCAAGGTCAATATTCAAGAAGAATCTCAGCTCTTGTATAATGTCAAAAATTCTTAGAAAATAAAAGTTGTCATCTTTTATATGTTGGCTGATCTTTCTGTAATTCACTATTATTCTGATATTATCGTTTGGTTTTCTTTTACAAATACAAGTGAATTAACAAGGGGATTTTGATCTTACTATTGTTCTTCTGGTTAACTACTTTGCTATCTTTTCTTTAAATTACCTAATCAACAAAGGGGCTATATTATATGATTTTGAGTTTAATGCTACTTTTTTGTCGTATTTTACTAAAGGTTACGCTTACTAAAAGAGTTTTAGGATTGTTTTTAATATAATTGTTTGATTGCGTATCAAAATATGTATAAAAATAATGCTCGTCGTCTTTATTTACTGCGCTCGATAAACTACTCTCTACTAACATATTATCTAGATCTTGTGGATCTAATTCTTTTGCCATAAAATAATCTGTATTCTTACGATTATTTACTACTAAATTATTGATGAATTTATTTATTCTGACTATGTTTCTTTTAAGGAATGAAGTTCTTTAGATAAAATCAGCATTCGAATTCTTTGTCACTAAAATGGTTTCTTGATATTCCTTTGTTTGTTTCTCTTAATCAGCAAACTTCAACCTTAGATTAACACATTTATTGATTAATTTTGTTGTTGAATTTCTAAATATACTTTATGATCACCTGTTTCATTGAATTTCACATTAAGCTTTCCCATTATATCCTCATTTATGTAATTGTCGTTTGCTCCGATATCTACAAGTGCAATTAATAAATGACCTTTTATTTAAGATTTACTTGAATTAATATATTACTCTTATACGTAAAAACTGTGTTTATGTCCTTCTTATTTCTGTGATGCTCGTTCTTATAATTACTTTCTTTTTTCTTTTCTTTCAATTTAGCACATTCTTCTGTTGATTGTGTGTGTGATTTGTGATAATAACAAAAAATGGGTTTTCTAAGTTGATGATTTTGTAAATATGTGATTCTTTTTGCTTATTTTGACTGTTTATAAAGTTGTTTAAAGGTTTTCTTGCATTTGCTAATATAATTTCTTCCTGTTGTTGAATGAATTTAATAATTTAAGTAATTTTTAAAAGGGTAAGTTTTTGAATCTCCATTTGAACTTTGGGATGTAATCCTAGGATAAAATGTTCCTTTATTTTGTGTTCTTTTTCTTTTTTGAATACTTTTTAAATAGACTTAGTTTTGTTACAACGTCTAGTATGACATTATAATAGATGTCAATTAGATAGAAATTTATTAGTTTTTTTTTGTTTGAGTTCGTCTAATAGAACTGGAAGTGGGTATCCTTTGAGTTGAAATTTTTTTATGTTGTCTAAAGAAGCATCAATGTCGTTATCTACAATTATTTTATGTATAATGTTTGTTTGGATTATTTATTTTAAGATTATAATTGTATCATCACATTTCAATCCGCTAGAGTAGCACTTATTTTCAATTCATTTCACCATGTTATAGCGTAATTGGGCAATTCTTGTTCTGATTAGATGTATATTTTCTNTGTTAATTTGATACTTGAGGTTCCAACAATGTATTCAAACTCGATTGAGGGAGTTAAATGTAAGCTTTTGCATTAGCTGTTACTGTGAGGTTATGTGATTTGATGTAAGAGTGTTGCTCAGCGCTATTTTGGTAACTTTTTAAAGATGAAGTCAATTTAATACATTCTTCCTTTGCTAGCAGCTGTCATATCCCAATGGATATGANNNATTACTTAGGATCATTTTTCTACAATGATTAAAAGATTAAAACAAAAATAAAAAAAATTAATTTTTAGATGTTACTGAAAAGTTTAGTAAATATACAAAAATTTTTACTATTAAAAGTTTAATGCCGGAAGAAACAATGAATAAAATACAATTATTTATAAAGCGATTTGGAATTTAAAAAAAAACAATCGCAAACATTGGTAGAACTTTTATAAGTATAGCCTTTAAATATTTACTTAGAGCCTAAGTACAGCTGCTTTACTAACATCACCTTATAATCCACAATAAAACGGGATCCTCGAGAGACGCAATTAAATTATATCAAAAGTTCTAGAATTTACAAATATAAATCGTAAAAAGATTCCATTTAAATTGCTGAAACAAAATTGAATAAAATATCAAACAAAGTAGCCACTTCACATTATCCTAAATATTAGAAAATATTAATGATCTTGATTTATTAAAACAAGATAATTAGAAAAAAAAAACAGAATTTCAAAAAGAAAGAATTTTATCACAAATAAACATAACAGTAATAATATTACTAAAATAGAATAGTATTTAACTATGAAAAAGGCGACCTAATAACACTAAAGAACACATATTTTGAAAATTAACCCCTCAAAATACAGGAATTCATATAATAATTAGAGTTAGTAACAAAAAGAATAGTATTCTTTTGCAGCTTGGTAAAAAGCTTTATGGTATAATACACAAAACCTAAAGTTTTTATCAGTTTTGGAGAGCAGAATTTTATATTTTATAACATAATTTTTTAGACATAAGTTCGAAACCTTAATCTTCTTATTAATTTTTTATTTATATTTTTTGAATAAAAATACACATGTCCAATAGTGGAGGAATTTTAAATAATCAAAAGATAAAATTTATTTATTAAACACTTATTATTCAGGTCATATATCTTAGGATAAGACAGTACAATTAGAAAGAAATTTAATAAAAAAATTACACTTCACAAAGTAGAACATCATGTAATTTTTTTTGAAATAAAATGATTTTTGTATTTATAAAAAATTTAATATTGTAATTAATTATTATAAAAATTTTAAATTTTTTTCGAACTGTTTTAAAATGATTAAATTTTGTGTAATTTAGGATAAATTGCTAAAAAAAGGTCGTTTTTTATATATAAGAAAACATCACGAATATTTTTTTTATAAAATAACGACTATTATGTCACTTTTTTAAACTTTATAAA